AATAATAAATGAGTTACTTAAAACAAAGAAAAACATAAATATTGATGATCATGAAGCTTTCTGTAAGCTGACGTTTATTTCAACTTTATGAAAGGAGTCTCCAGTTTCAGCACTTAACATGAACAGTCAATTAGTTTGCCGACACGGAAAAGTCTTTCGGGCAGTGGACTTTACGTTTTCCGGTTTCTCAGTAACACGACAAACTACGTTTTTTTTTTTTACATGTATTTATTTCTTTTTTTGTCTTATTAACTTGAAGAGAAAGTAAAAAGAGAGGCTGGTGAGGGAGTAGGCATGTCCTCACTTGCATCATGACTACATTCCAGTATTTAAGCAACAGAGATATTGTATATGTTTTGCCTGCACATAATTACTAAATGACTGTCATTGTCATTTTATTTAGCTAATTTTCTCCTTGGCTGCTCCCGGATATTCGTAGACTGCCATTGCTTCGTCATTATGGTTAGACCGCACCTCGGTTACTGTTATCTCTGTTGAACACTGTTAATTAAACATTTCCACACCCGGCAGCCCTTGAATACTTTCTGTACAAATCCGTGTCATTGTTTTTTTTGGTTTTTTTTTATTTTCTTTGTTTGTGATTAGCAGTGCAATAGCAACATGCACACTGCATACTATTATAATTAGTGAGGTGTTTTTTTTTTTTTCCACCAGATCTTTTTCTGCGTTCTAATGGAGTCGTGTGTTCACCGTTTTTATAATTAGTATGAACAGCTCACTGTTGTGGTCAGTGATTTCTGACACGAGTTGTGTTGTGTTTTGTTTTTATGTATGGCGGAGCTCGTGGAAGTTAGCAGTCAATGCTAAAGTGTAATTACAGCGTAATTTTAGACATGCAGAGTCTTTTCTTAAGGACATGTCGCCATTTAAACTGTCAGGAGAAAAGCCTTGCTAGGTAGCTACAGAAACGCAGATTATTAGCCTCAGTGGTGTCCAGTCATGTAGCAATAATCCTGTCATGAAAAGTACATGAAGCCGCTTGAATGGTGAGCGTATCGTACACGTTTTCTCTATAACCGTGGTACAATATAGGTAATTTTACACATTGTATATGTTATTGGAGGAAAGTCCTGTGTTCAGCCACGTGCAGGTCCTCACGCGTTCCCCACCGTAGCTCTCGTTCACAAGTTGTGCAGGAATGTGAGCTTGAGCTCACGGCACAGGAATGCCATCTGTAATTCAAATGCTGGAAACCGAGGATGAAAATGAAAACACGGAGCATGCAAATGTAGCTAACCATCACAGTGCTATAAAATCTAAATATAAAAAGATGCCATGACATTTTTGTGCTGGCAGAACTTCTGGCTGTTGATTAACTTAAACGTCATCTCTGTTCTGGACCAAAACAAGGCGTGTACTGTGTAAGAGACGTTACTGCTGCAGGATGAGTTTCCCTTCTGTCAGAGTTGTATTAGGACCCAAAAAAAAAAAAAAAAAACAGTAGTAGTAACACACCTTGGAATGGAAGCTTAGGTGCGTGTGTAGTGTATATAAAAATATGCCAGTATTAATAAAATTATTCTACATTTAATTCTCTTGATTAAGCCATTTAAAGTACTCTGATTTTTTATTTTTTTTTATTTAAAAAAAGTTTGTTTCTTTAAGTAGGTGTCTACCCAATGCTCATCTTTCCTTCTCAATTGTGTGTACTTGAACATTTGTGTAAATATTAACAACTTCAGATAAGAATAGGATGTTGTGATTTTAGCATTGTGCTTAATCAATGTTTTGTTCTCTCTCTCTCTCTCTCTCTCTCTCACTGTAGACGGGTCGTATAGATAAGTCCTACCCGACGGTATGTGGACACACAGGGCCAGTGTTGGACATCGACTGGTGTCCTCACAACGATCAGGTGATCGCCAGCGGCTCAGAGGACTGCACCGTCATGGTAGGACTTTATATCGTTCTTTCTTTATTTTAATGCTTATTCATGTAGTATTAAATCCACATCCTTTGGTATGGTATACCTGATACAGCAGCTACACTCTCAAGTTTCAACCCAGTCTTGTATTCAGAGGCCAATATTTTTAACAGTAAAAAAGAAAAAAAAATCAATATTAAGTCAAATATCCTTGTTCCACCTTTAGCTATTCTTTTTTTTTTTTTATTATTATTTCAAGTTCAGAGATGTTGGGAAGACTAAGACGCCAACATGCAGAGGTGCCACCCACTCAGTTTATTTATTCGAGCATTAATGGAAGCATGAGTCATTAAAATAGCAGCAGATGAGCCTGTACAGTTCCTTGCTTCCTGCTTTAGAGTGATTAATGTGCCAGAGAATTTAAACGGCTGCCAGTGTTTGCAGGATAGTAAACTTGAGCGTTATAACAAATGAGCAACAGTTTGAAAACCCCTGCCGGTCAGACAGTCTGGGCGTGGCCTAATATTCTAACGAGCATTCTTGATTGACATCCCTTTGTCCAAGCCTCTTCATCCATTCAGGAAATATAATCCAAGGTGTCTGCATCCCTACGTCTACCAACCTAGACTAAATAGGCTATGCTCACTTGGTTTGCTTTTACTCGGTTGTAATTTTGCGTTTTGCGAGATTTGGGCTGCCAAACATACAAGAGGGACAATTATAGACATTGGAAAGTCACTAGTTTTTCCATACACCATGCTAAATTACCGTGATTAGTCTGAAATTTAGCTTCTCCAGCCATTATTATATCCATTACTGATTATAATGTTTCTACATATTTAGAATGTATAATATGTATTACAATTTTATAGTGTTAGGTCAGTTAGCTCGCTAACACAAGGATTTTATGTTTCAACTTTTATCCCGGAGCATTTGAGTATAGCTGCTTGTGATGGTCCTGCTCTCCCACGCTGGGTTTATTAGTCACAGTGATTTTGTGGTATGCCACATTGCTCTCACTTCCCTTCTGGAGCGTCCAGACTTCACCCAGAAAGGCAAAAACAACTTGTATTATCCCCTCAACCCAAGCTCTTTCTGCTGCAGGTAGACAAAAAGAACTAATGAACTAATAGGCTGATCTGCCAGAAATGATCTTTTGAACTGTTTGGCTTTTTGAAATGCTACTGTGTGTGTTTGTGTAATTTTAGTGTAAAATTCAATCGTTGCTTATGGATGAAAAAGCTCAATTTAAACTTCCTTCATTTTAAGACGTTGTATGGAAAAGGGGTAAAAAGGCCCGTAGTTTGGAATGGCCCCATTCCATGGCCTGTAATTTGGACAGGTCCTATCCCATAGCCCTTAGTTTGGAATGGTCTCATTCCATGGCCCGTAGTTTGGAATGGCCCCATTCCATGGCCTATAATTTGGACAGGTCGTATCCCATAGCCCTTAGTTTGGAATGGTCTCATTCCATGGCCCGTAGTTTGGAATGGCCCCATTCCATGGCCTTTAATTTGGACAGGTCCTATCCCATAGCCCTTAGTTTGGAACGGTCCCATGCCAAGGCCCATTGCTTGGAAAGATCCCTTCCCAAGGCCTATAGTTTGGCACAGCCCCATCTCAACATCTGTAGTTTGGAACAGTTCCATCCCATGGCCTCTAGTCTGGAAGGGAATTACAGTGTTAGGGATGGGGATTAAGGCATCCTGATAATCAGATGTAAACTACTGAAACGTATTGTGCATATTGTAATTACAATACTTATGCTGATCAGGCTGGATACACTCCTGTCTTTTAACACCTGCAGTATTCCATTAGTTATTTTTTTTACACTTTTATTTTTTTTCTTGTAATGTCTAAGTGTGTATTGCAACAATGCAGCAGCAAAACAGCTGGAACCTTTAAAAGTTCCCACACAGTGATTTGGGACAGCAGGTGTGAAGTCCATACACATCTGTCTCCCCATTCTTTCACTGTGTAACATAAGATCAGAATAATTAGAACAGGAATCTGTAACTGTACACTAATATTTAATCCGTACTTTGAAGATGGAGCAGAAGTTGACATGGCCAGCACAGGATAAGCATTATAATGGAATTTTCTCTCACATCTTTAACTGAAATGTGAAGCCAGGGTGAACGGGAGACGTGCTGGAGTTGCAGAGACTGACCTAATGCTTGGTGAATGTCTGAAATAATGTAAGGGTTGTGTCTCGGAGGTATAGAAATGGTATGATGTGGGTGAGAGGATTATAGAAAGAAATGGTGAAATTGATACTTACAGAGGAAGAGTTATTTAGAGAACAAAAAGGGAGGAGAAAGGAGAGGTATGGTCCAAAAAATGTCTGCACTGTTGCTGTTGCTGTTGTTGTTGCTGTTGCTGTTGTTGTTGTTTTTCATTTTCATTATCATCCATTTAACTGCCAAGCGTTAAAAACCGGTGGAACAAATTGAGATTAATTTCTTTGATATGAGATCAAATTTCCTTCATGATTATACAATATTTGTGCACACCTAAAGCGAATGGTTTTGTGACTAACCTTAATAAACACTGAAAGATCAGCCCTAGATGAGTGTTGTGAGCGCTGCTCAGCACAGATCCTTGCAGTCTGCTTCCCCCTTAAGGCTCAATAATGCAAGTGCAAAGTCTAAACCTCTGATTTCATTTAAAGGTACTTTGGGTAAGAATAGGTTCTTTCACGATTAGGCCTCTAAGGTTTAGGTGGGTTTGACATGTCAGTGATTCCTGCCCATGTTCATGCCCATCAGGCTCCGCCCCCAGGATCTACAGTGGCCCATAGAGTGTCTATGAAATGAAGTGAAGTGACTTGTGGCCAAGTGTGGTGACCTGTGGTGCTCTGCATTTAACCCATCCAAGTGCGCACACACACACACACACACACACACACACACACACACACACACACACACACACACACACACACACACACACACACACACACAGTAGTGAACACACACCCGGAGCAGTGGGCAGCCATTTTAGCTGCGGCGCCCGGGGAGCAGTCAGGGGATCGGTGCCTTGCTCAAGGGTCTCACCTTAGTCGTGGTATTGAGGGTGGCAGAGAGCGCTGGTCATTCACTCCCCCCACCTACAATCCCTGCCGGCCTGAGACTCGAACCCATGACCTTCGGGTTCACTTTCAGGTTACAAGTCCGACTCTCAGACCATTAGGCCACGACAAATGACTTACAGGAGGCGAATCCAGACACAAACAAGCACTCCGGACCGGAAGTCCGTTTTCCAATCGAGTTTTCTCAGTGACTTTATAAACTTTTGTTAAGGCCATGATTTAATCCATTGTTTGTTTTTTTTTGTTTTGTTTTTTTTTAAATCATGTTCTACATATCTTCCAGGTTATTTGTACAAGTAAGCAATTAAAAAAAGCCTATTGCTCCTTTAAGTCAAATTGTCATTTTTTTTTCCTACTATTGTATTGCTACTATTATTATTATTATTATTATTATTATTAGTGGTGGTGGTGTTGTTGTTGTTCTTACTGAACTATACATCTTTGCAGCTTTTTATTCTATTCAATATTTACTTATTTAGTTGTGTATCTTTGCTAATTAATTGGAGCTAATTGTTACTTCTACTTTCTCCAGTTTCCATTGCATGATGTCCATCTTTGTGCTGTATTGAACCGTGGATCTGGTCTTATTTTTGGATCTCGTCTTGTTTCAGGTGTGGCAGATCCCCGAGAACGGTTTGGTGACCTCCATGTCGGAGCCTGTGGTGGTGTTGGAGGGCCACTCCAAACGGGTGGGCATCATCACCTGGCACCCGACGGCCCGCAACGTTCTGCTCAGTGCTGGTGAGTGACGGCACCCTGTCCCACCCTGTCACCCTCTCCATCGCTTACGCTTACTTTTTTGTGTGTTAAAGAGCAATCCATTTATAGTTAAGCTACAACCCAGAGCATCCACTAAGCAAGTCACTGGGTGTTACTGTAGAAATGTAATGCGTTAGAACAAGCGCGTTAATATAAACATGCGGTTTGCCTTACAGCTGACACTACTGTCAGAGCCAGTAGTATAGAAGTGAAAAAAAATAAATAAATAAAATAAACAAAACACTGACACTGGAGACTCCTTCCATAAATATAAATGTTCCTTACAGGAAACTTGAACATGCCAGCATTTTTCACAAATTACACAATTTTTAAATTCTGGTTATTATTGGATAATATTATATATAAGTTGTGTTATATTATTATTTACTATATAAGCAATAATATACAGTACTAGAAATACTGTCAGCTGCTGATAGAAAATTAATCAACACTTTCTGCTCAGTCAGATTTAAGAGTTCAGCAATGACCAATATAGCCAATATAGCAATAAAACCAATATAGCAGTTGAACATGTATAATATTACATAATGCTAACCGGCGTTTGTTGTTAACACATGACATGTGAGAGCATCGTGGCGGTTCTGGGTGATCTTGTGTTACACGTTTTACATTGGTTCTTCATTTTTAATTTAGGTTGCGATAACGTGATCGTGATCTGGAACGTGGGCACGGGTGAGGCGCTCATCACGCTGGAGGACATGCACCCAGACGTCATCTTCAGCGCGTGCTGGAACCGCAATGGCAGCCTGATCTGCACCACCTGCAAGGACAAGAAAGTGCGCGTCATCGACCCGCGCAAGGAGGAGATCATTGCGGTACACACACACACACACACACATGCACATGACTGCTTCAAGCATAGACAAAGTGTAAAGATATTATTGTAAAAATCCATCAGTGTGTGTCAGGAGGAGTTTTGAATTGTAGGCCGCGGTAAATTTGTTGCATAGAAAAGATATGTAACATCACACACACACAATCAAGCATGTGGTGTGTTAAAGCAGGTTTTCAAGTGTGTGACTGTGCATGTTTGTGTGTGTCAGGAGAAGGATAAGGCCCACGAAGGCGCGAGGCCCATGAGAGCCATCTTCCTGTCTGATGGGAACGTCTTCACCACTGGCTTCAGCCGCATGAGCGAGAGGCAGCTCGCACTCTGGAACCCGGTACAGTAGTTTACACACACACACAGCACTCAGTTTACACACACACACACACACACACACACACACACATACAGCACTCAGTTTACACACACACACACACACACACACACACACATACAGCACTCAGTTTACAGACACACAGCACTCAGTTTATACACACACACTCACACTCACACACACACACAATTTACAGAAATGCATCTTTGTCCACTTCTATAGACACCAAAATTTAGGTCCAAAGCTCATTTTTGCCTTCTGCGTGAATAAATGTAATTTATTCGAATTAGGCTTTAAGGCAGTTGATATTTAAATGAGGATGATGTTATAACTGTACCGTGGCCTCTAAAACTCAAAATGGAGCAGGTCACATGTGGATGTGGCTCTGTTAGATTACTGAGTGATGCAGTGGGGAAAAGAGAGTAGCACCGTATTTGACAAATGTAAGAGAATTACGGCTGTTAGACAGATGAATCAAGAAATAAAACGATCTGCACGCTTAATCGTCGGTTCAAGAAGTGACGCTATATAGCGCACAAAGATGTCCTGAATGTACAGTAGAGCACTGATAACCCCAAAATGGCTGTTTCTGTTCCATTATTTATGCAAGAATACATTTAAAAAATAGTGTGGAGTGTGACATTTGGATTTTTTTTTTTTTTTTTTTTATTTTACCAGCAAAACATGGAGGAGCCGATTTCAGTCCACGAGATGGACACCAGCAACGGAGTCCTCCTGCCTTTCTACGACCCTGACACCAACGTGGTGTACCTGTGCGGAAAGGTAAACATGCTCTTAGATCTTCCAGAGTCCTGAGGCAGGACGGATCATTATAGTTCCCTTTCCATTACGTTTCTCTTATTAGCGTGTCTTTTTGAAAAACAAACTGTAATTTGCGTCTTGTCTGCGTTTAGGAAAACAGTTAAAGACGGGGTGGTGTGATGAGGTAGAGCTACCACCCGAACGTTGATTATTGTACCTTAAACAGCACACCCTAAAGTGCTTTATTTCTCTTACACCGCAGAAATAACAGCTATAAACACGAAGCTGTGAAGCAGCCATTCATCTCCTGAAGTTAATAAGACAGGAAAAAGTGCTTCCTGTTACTGAGAAGTCCTCAAAATGATGATATTGTGTATTGACCTGTTTATCGATTTGTTTATTGTTTTCTTTTTTTTCTTCTCTTTTTGTCAGGGTGACAGCAGCATCCGCTACTTTGAGATCACTGACGAGGCGCCATACGTGCATTACCTCAACACGTTTACCACCAAGGAGCCGCAGAGGGGCATGGGCTACATGCCCAAGAGAGGCCTGGACGTCAACAAGTGTGAGATCGCCAGGTGAGACGAAAACAGCAGGTTTTTCCGCCGTCGCATTGCACGTCGCAATTTCTCCGTTTTCTTACTATTGGTAACACCAGGAGTGTGATTATGTAAGAAAAAAAAGACAACAGGGCGTACCGTTACAGGGAAATAATCCGCTAATCAAAGAATCAACCACTCTGGCGTTGATTATTTTCCTATAACGGCAAGTGTTTTATTCCTCTTACGTCACAGCAATTTTCCACTGATTACAAGTTTTAAATGTATTATTTATTATTTATTATAGTTACTGTTATCACTTCAGCTATCATTATAGCTGTTATACACAGTCATACTTTCACCAGCTTCTCTCTCTCAAAAACCAGAATGTGCAAAGCCCGCTGTTCTAAAGACCGTCACTGACACTGGAGACTCCTTCCACAAACGTTAAACAAATGTGTCCTTCCAGAAAGCTTCACTGTGTAGATGCTTGTTTTTCTTTACCTTAAATTATATGAAGAGGTCCACCACAGTCCACCATGTGATTTGTCCCTGAAACCATAAGGTCGGATGTTAGAACGAGCGCATTAATATAAACCTAGGATTTTTGTCTTGCCGAAAATGAATCGACACCTTCTGACTAATCCGATTAGAGAATCCAGCAGCGCTGTTCCGTTGAATCCAAAAATACTTCCCTTATGCTGGTTTACACAAAACTAACACAAGACAGTTGTATTTATTCATCTGTTAGGAACTCACAGGTGCGTGTGTGTGTGTGATCGTCCTGTAGGAGGCAGCACATGCCTGCATTACCCACTTTTAAAAATCCCGTATAGATTTCTTTTAGCTCTTTGTTTCTCTGCCTTGCTTTTGTAGTATAACTAAAAACCTGTTTGCGTGTGTGTTTTCAGGTTTTACAAGCTGCATGAGAGGAAATGCGAGCCCATCATCATGACAGTGCCAAGAAAGGTGAGTCCTTCCTGCCATGTCTTGCTGAATGATCGTCTAACAGTAGTCACTTTGGCACACAGGTGTACGGTAACTGACTGTAGCGCATCTGATTAATTGAAAGATACGGCTACAGCACCGCGTGTTATTTGGGTGGTGGGAAACTGACAGTACAGCAGTGGCACTGACATGGTCGTCACATGTTGCTGGGTGTTATTAGTGATTTCTTGTAAAGAAAATCAAACCGCATCGTCACGTCGAGAGCCCAGAGTGACACCTACTTGTTTAGCGTTCAACACTGCACGTGATCTTTGCTTGCTTGTAAACACAGGATATGAGCACAAGGTCATTTTTACATTTCTGCATTGGCTAGTTGTCACTCAGTGAACTACTGAACTCCGCTGACTTGAATTAAATTGACTGGTATAATTGTGAAAACACTAAAATGTCTGTTTTAATGTTGTGACTTTGATTAGATGTCACTTGCGTACTAGTGTCTAAGCATCGGGGCATTTTTGCATTTAGCCTGCCTGTTTTTTTTTTTTGTTTGTTTTTTTTTCTTGGTTCTCTCGCTTTTCTAGCGTGGACAAATCATAAATTCATCAGCTAGCCCGCTACACAAGTAGAATCTCCAGTGTTGTGTTGTGGTTGGCCAGAAACCACACTGACGAGGCTAAAAATGGAAATATGGCGAAATACATAGCTAGTTATGTGCATTAATAGAGACACAAACAAGTATATAACACGTCTTTAATTTTCCTGAAAGTTACGAGATTTTCTCAGCATTTACACTTACACTATATGGCCAAAGGTGTGTGGACACCTGGCTATCACACCCATATGTGGGCCTCAAACTACTGCCCCAAAGTTGGCGGCACATAATTGTCTAGAATGTCAATTTCTCTTCACTGGAACTAAGAG